GTGACAGTGGACTAAACCTCTGACACTGTAAGCCAGCCCCAGTTCAATGCTTACTTTACTAACAGTTGCTGTGGTCATGGTGTCTCTTCACAGCAATCAAAGGCCGACCAAGACAGCTAGTGAGCCTGAGATACACAGAGCCGCAGAAAGAAGAGAGCCTACCTCAGCATGGGGGACAGAGAGAACTGACTCCACACGCTGTCCTCGGCTGCGGGATAATGCTCTTGTACATTGCAAAGATTTGTCACTCGTATTGGTTTAATAAAATGCTGATTGGCCAGTAACTAGGCAGGAAGTATAGGCGGGGTGAGCAGACTAGGAGAATGCTGGGAAGAGGAAGGACAGAATGAGGAGTCTCCAGACAGATGCAGAGGAAGCAAGATGAGAATGCTGAACTGAGAAAAGGGACCAAGCCATGTGGCTAAATATAAAAAAGAATTATGGGTTAATTCAAGTGTAAGAGCTAGTCCTTAATAATCCTGAGCCAGTGGCTGTGCAGTTATAATTAATATAAGCTTTGGTGTGTAGTTTGGGAAGTGGCTGTTGGGTATTTGGGAGTTGTTAGCAGAACAGAGACTTCTGCCTACAGTCCTTTGACCTCCACCGTGGCACTCACATATCCCCCAATAAATAAATAAATAAATAAATAAATAAATAAATAAATAATATTTTAAAAAACTACATATGGAATCTGATATTTTCCATGACCTCAAACCTCTGTGAGAATGCTTCCTAGCAGATACAGAAGGTACATAACAACTTTAATAAAACACAAAAATTGACAGAGAACAGGAAGGAATTGACCCCTGTTGTGAAATATCACTTTAATTGTGTAAACGTGTGTTACTTTTGTTTGTGCTGCATTTGTTTAGTTGTTTCACCTTGTTGTGAATGTGTTGCTGTTTCCCCTTGCCTGCCTAAGGCACCTGATTGGTCTAATAAAAAGCTGAACAGCCAATAGCTAGGCAGGAGAGGGATAGGCAGGGCTGGCGGGCAGAGAGAATAAGCAACACCAGAAGTCTAGGCTCGGAGCAGAAGAGAGAAGAGAATGAGGGAGAAACAGAGGAAGACTCCCAGGGCCAGCCAGCCAGACATGGCAGAAACAGGGAAAGTTTGTTCTGTAGGACATACAGAATGAAAAAAAAAAAAAGATAAAAAGCTCTGAGGCAAAATGTAGATGACAAGAAACTGTAGCATGATTTCTATTTGGTCTTATTAATAAAAACCCAGAGTTAGATATCAGGGTGAAAACTGAAAGATCAGAGAAGCAGAGCAGCCAGCCACCAGTTCTTACCTCTACGAAATCCTCAGCCTGAAAGAGCTGAGCTCCTGTTTCTTCCCACTTTATATTCCTCTCTCTGCTCAGTCATATCACTTCCTGTCACCACCTCCCTAGTGCTGGGATTAAAGGCAAGAGATTCCAAGTGCTTGGATTAAAGGTGTGTGCCACTACTGCCTGGTTTTCTTTCTCTTTTAGACTGGATTAATCTTGTGTAGCCTAGGGTGGCCTTGAACTCACAGAGATCTGTCTGCCTCTGCCTCCGGAGTGCTGGGATTAAAGGTATGTGCCACCACCGCCCTGCGAGGCCTGACTCTTGAGAGGCCCCAACATATCAGGTCCACACACTCACCCCAGCAACCAAACAGAAAAGGTAACAGTGACATCTGCAGCACCGTCCTCAGCAGGCTGCAAAGATCTTGTTCAAGATTCTGTCGTCCAGGAGGCAAAAACCACATATCATCAGGGGTCAGTCGATCATCATCTCAGGGTCAGGTGGGGCCTTAGTGTCCCTGCCTAGGGGTGGACTCCACTCCCTTCTGAGCCGGTTATCTGTCAGACCAGCTGTCCCTGTAATCCAAGATGACTTTAGGAGGACAGACATAGAGTCGAGGGGATGGAGGCAGGTGGCCAAGCCTCTATACTGCATTTACTTACCCGTCCCACCTCTACAGACATCTGCAGCTCAGTCAAGTGAATTCTTTCCTTTAGCACAAGCAGCCTCAAAGTCTTTGTCATAGTGTGGAAACAGCGGTTGCAGTTAGTGGAACATACACATCCCCTAGCATGTAGGGGCTTATTGATTGTGATGGTTAATATTGGTTAATACTGGCTGTCCATTTGACAGGGTCCAGAGCCACCCAGGAGACAAACCTCTGGGCACATCTGTGAGGGGGTTCTACATTACGTTATTTGACATGGGAAGACCCATCTTCAATTTGAGTGATCTTCCGTGAGCTGGGGTCCCTGCTTGAATAAAAAGAGAAAGCAAGGTGAGCACCAGCCTGCCCCCACAGCTTCCTGACTGTGGCCGCCATGTGACAATGTGAGGAGCTACCCCAGGCTTCTGCTGCTGCGTCTTCCTGTCATAATGAATCCTCAGACTGTGAGGCAAAAGGAACCTTTCCTTCCTGAAGGTGCTTTTATGGGGGCATTTCATCACAGCCAGAGGGGAGTAACTGACCACAGATGGAAGAGCTTGCATGTTTTCTTTTGTCCCACCTGCCAGAGAACGCCCTGGAATCCCACCATTGTGTACAGAACGGGAGGGAAGACAGGTGCCGCCGAGTGTGAGTCTGACTGGGCTGCTATGACAAAGTGCCACAGGCAGGGTCATTCTTAGTAGAAATGTGTTTCTTATGGTTCTGGAAGTTCCAGTCCCGTTTAGGGATGAGTCATTGTTCCCAGCACAAGGACCAGCTCACAAGTCTCTGTTTCCCACTGCAAAATGAAGCCCCTCTAGGCCACCGTCTTTTCATGAAGGGAAACAGATTAAGCGAGTTTGGGGCACAGAGGTTCAAACTGTAGCACAAAAGAGACAAATTTAGGCAAGGGTGTTGGTTAAGAGTGTAAGTCTGAAAAAGTAGACTTTCAAGATACAGAAAATATACGTACATACTATATCTACAGTTGTATCTATAATGGGTATGTGTGTAAATGTGTGGTTACATTGTGTGTATTTGCACACGTGTGTGCACATGCATGTGAAAGCAAGAGGACATCCGTGGGTGTTCCTTAGGCACTGTTCACTTTGTTTTTGAGACAAGGTCTCACACAGTGTCTCACCAAGCAGCCAGCAAGCTCCAGGGATCTCTTGTATCTGATTTCACATCACTGGGATTACAAACACAGGGCCCGATGACTGACTTTTTTCTCTCTTACACATGTGATCTAGGGATCAAACTCATGTCTTCAGGCTTGTGCATCAAGTACTAGACTACCTGAGGCCCCCTCCCCGGCCCCAGCCTCTGAGGACATGTTTTTGTTGTTGTTTGCCTTTTGAGACAGTGTTTCTCTGTGTAGCCCTAGCTGTCCTGGAACTCTCTCTCTGTGGACCAGGCTGGCCTCGAACTCACAGAGATCCGCCTGCCTCTGCCTCCCGAGTGCTGGGACTAAAGGTGTGAACTACCAGGCCCCCATGTTTTTTAAGGTAACGAGAATGTTTGTTAATAGATGGGAAGTGAGGTCGAAGGGGAAAAAGGGACATCAAGGACAATTTGTTGGGAGCAACCAGGGGACAGGATTGTTTGCTGGGACTGGGAAGATGGAAAAGCCAGAACCTTGGGTCCTGTAAAGTCGGGGAGTCCATCAGACATTCCAGGGGAGATGGCAGGTTGATTGCTGATTTTTGTTTATCTTATTTATTTATTTTTGAGATGGGGTCTTATGGAGCCCAGACTGGCTTCACATTTACTACATAGCAACAGGGATGATCTTGGACTGCTGACCCTTCCGCTTAGTGTGCATGAACATCGTAAAGGTTATGCAGCACTGTGGGTCGAAACCAGGATTCCTAGGTGCTGGGCAAGCACTTTACCAGCTGGGCTGCGACCTCAGACCAAACGTTTCTTCTCCACCAGGTTGACGGGCTGGATCTGGGAGTATCTAAATTTTATTCAATCACATTAAAGGGCTGGAGGGTTGGCTCAGTCATTAAAGGTTAGGCTCACAATCAACCACATGAAAAACTTCTAACAAATTACTGTCTGATTTACTAAATTAGAAGCTACACATATTAAGCAACATCATTAATGGACCTGCTAAGATTTCACATATGTGTTTGAGATGGAGGGGGGTGTCTCTCTATGTTGGTCAGTCTTACTTTGAACTCTGAACACAAGGGATCCTCCTGCCTCGGTCTTCCAAGTATGCAGTATTTCACCTTAGCCACTGCACACCAGTTTAAGGATAGTCATCTGCCCTGTCCCCCTCACTTCCCTGAGACAGGGTTTCTTTGTGTAACAGCTTCTGGCTGTCCTGGATCTCGCTCTGTAGACCAGACTGGCCTCAGACTCGCAGAGATCCGCCTGCCTCTGCTTCCCGAGTTCTGGGATTTAAAGGCGTGGGGCCACCACCTCCCGGCGGGGGGGTCATTTTTAACAGACAAAAGTAGCTTACAGAACAAATGCATGCTTCACTATGTATTTGATTGGAAGCATGCAAGCAAAAAGATTAGAATACCAACCGTGACCATTTCAGGTGTTGCCATTTACCGTGGTCATTTAAAACAGCCTCTTAGGTAACTGGTGTTTGTTTCTTTCAAGACGAGGTCTTCTGTACCTCAGGCTGGCCTCGAACTCTCGATGTAGCTGAGGATGACCTTGGATTTCTGGTCTTCCAGCCTCCACCTCCCCGGTGTGCACCACCACGCTGGGTTTATGTGATGCCGGGGGTGGAACCCAGGGCTTCATGCACTCTAGTCAAGCAGTCTACCAACTAAGTCACATCCCCAGCTCCCACAGTTTGGGTTTTTGTTGTAGTTTGTTTGTTTTTGCTTCCTTAGTAGAGAGGATCCACAAAGGTGTCTTGCTCCGCACAGTGCGTGGCTGGGCCACCTGTCGCTTGCGAGGGCGTCAAGGTGATGCCGTGGTGATGGAAAGGACCAGGTGCGGAGCCCCAAGGCAGCCAGGCCCCGCCTCAGAGCTGCGTGGGGCCAGGAGAAGTGGGCGGGCCGGAGGGCGCGCCTACAGATCACGTGGCGGACGTGGGCCAATGGCCGTCTCCGAGCCCACCTTGAGGCCGGGGCGGGGCGCCGGGCTGGCGTCACCAGGACAACGGGCGTCGCCGGCGCCGTGTGACTCCGGGCTGTGGGCGCGCTCGCGGCCATGGTGAGTCTGGGGCCCGCGCTCGCTCGCGGGGCAGCGGAGATGCTGGGCGCCTAGGGGAGTGTGCGGAGACGAGCCAAGGCCTGCCGGGCGGGGCGGGGCGGGGCCGGGCAGGGCCGGGCTGGGTGAGGCCGGGCAGGGCAGGGCAGGGCAGGGCAGGGGGCATCGGATTGGTCCTGCAGAAGGAAAGCCCAGGTCCCCGGGTCCTGGATGCCGGGCACCGGGACGCTGTGCTCTCTGATGCTCCGTGTCTGGATCACACACCCGGGACCTCCTCGGTGGACCACCCCGACGCCGTGACGCTGTTCGGCCCGAGCGTGCCCGGGAAGCCACCAGAGGGTGTGGTTACATAGATGCCCACAGCCAACGCTCCTCGGTCTGCGTACTTCAGGCTGCTTTTATCAATGATGTCAATACCGTACCACACATTTGTTTCAAGTTCGGCGTCCTGACGGGGCTCCTAGCACAGGGGAATTTAATGGGTGGCGTCAGAGAGACCCCTTACCCCCTTTTGTGAAAATGGGGGGACACTGAACTGGACTTTTTTTTTTCTTTCTTTCTTCTGAGTGCTGCTCTCTCTCTCTCAGTGAGGGATTTAATGAATCTGTCATTAGTACGTTGTAAACACTTTAAGCCGTTAGCTTTGCTCAATAAACTTGGAAGGCTGTGGGCATGCCACCTGGCCTCCATTAACTTCTGGTTGAAAGCCTTAATCGACTTGGCCTGCGTGCTGGCTGGAATGGGCAAGGTTCAGGTGTGATTTCTTGAGAGGTCTCCATCCACACAAAAGAAGTGAGCTCCCTGGTTCGTGACACACCCCGGGCATAGAATATTTGAGGGTTAGCCAGTAGAGACGTGCCTAATTTTAAGAAATACGTATCTAGAGGGCTGTTGAGATGGCCCGGTGGGTAAAGGCACTTGTTGCCAATCCTGACAACCCGAGTTCCATATTCCTGACCCACGTGTGGGAGCAGAGAGTCCTGTAAATTTTCCTCTGACCTCTGTACAGGGTATGTCCTCCACATAAATAATAAAATGTAAAGAAAATGTGTTTACTATGGATAATTAGATGGATATTTGCTTGGGCTGTGTCCGCGCGCGTGTGCGCATGTGCATGCATACCCAAATGCATGTGTGTAGGTGATAGTGTGAAGTCCAGAGGTCAATGACTGGATGTCTTCCTGCATCCCTGTCCACCTTACTTTTGACAGGGTCCCTCACTGAGCCTGGAGCTCGGGGGCTCTTCCTGTTTCTCTACCCATGGTCTCCTCATCGCTGAGGTTACAGACACTGTATACAAGTCGATTGTACCGCAGAGCGTTCTGTGTCCTCCTGTAGAGATGCCATGGAGTAGGGAGTGAGACTTCTTTTCTTGTTTGGATGCGTTGGTTCTGAGTAGTCTGGAGTGATTGTCGTTGGGTTCCAGCCTTGGGTTAGATGCTGAGGAACAGAGCGGGCAGGCCTCTCGCTCTCCGGCTCTGCATTCTTCCCTGTGGCAAAGCTGAATGAGAAGGATTAGCAGGCGCAGGCGTGGATGGGTTCACACTTCCGCCTAGGGCCGCTCTGGGGGTTTGTCCGGCACCTCGGTTTGTGTTCAGGACTCAGCATCTGCTCTCTGCGGCTCGCAGAGCTGATTTACACAAGACCTTCCATCCCTCAGGATGGAGCAGCAGTGTTTAAACACGTTTCTTCTCTCTGCCCTCCTCTTTTTTCAGTCTTGGTCTCTTTTCCTGCTCATCCTCCCTCATCTCCTTTCGCTGCTCTTCCTCACTTTCTTCTGTGACTGCTGTAGAAGCCCTCCCTCCGGTGGCTGGTTTGATTTCAGCTCCTCTGGCCGCACTGAATGCTCGAGTGTCTTTCCTGGGTGCCAGTTTTGTTGTTTAATTCAGCTTATAAAATAAATTTATTTCAGAGCTGGGGAGTGGGTGGCGCACACCTCTCTGTGAGTTCAAGGCCAGCCTGGGCTACAGATCGAGTTTCAGGACTAGCTCCAAAGCTACACAGAGAAACCCTGTCTCGAAAAACAAACAAACAAACAAACAAACAAAAAACTAACTTACAACTAACTAGATTCATCTCTTATATTGTATGTCATAACATGTTCTTCCCATTTGAATCCATTCTGTCTGTTGTTTCCCCTTATTTTGCACTCCACTTCTGTTTTTGTCTGTATACAGGTCGTCTTAGAGGTTTGGGAAACATGAAACTGGGGAAAACTCAAATATTTAATAGTAGTTTTCCACTTTACACTGAAGTTTCTTTTTTACCTTTTTTTGGCTTTTCTGGGTATGTGTGTGCAGGTGCATGAGTGTGTGTGTGGAGGCCAGAGGTCCGCCTTGAGTGGTGTTCCTCAGGTGCCAGCTACCTTGTCTTTTTGAGAGGGAGTCTCTCTCAGAACCTGAATTAGTCTAGACTGGCTGGCCAGTGAGCCCAGAGATTACCTCTCTCCAGGCTGGGATTAAAGCACGTGCCACGGGATAGCTGGGGGTTTGGGTGGTGGTGGTTTTATGTGGTTCTGGGATCAAGCCCAGGTCGTCATTCCTATGTGCCTGTGTGCCAAACACTTTACCAGTGG